GGTAGCTTACTACAAGAGAATCACACAAGTTCACAGTGGGCATGAACTTTATTCACAGTTGGTCATACTGTCTTGGGCATACGAGGGAGGAGGAGGAGAGCAGACACAATGCGCTTCGACATGCTAGCACATGCACCGGTTTCGGACAGTGGCAGAACGTGACGGGGAGAGTGAGAGAGAAGAGAGAGAGAGAGAGAGAGAGAGAGAGAGAGAGAGAGAGAGAGAGAGAGAGAGAGAGAGAGAGAGAGAGAGAGAGCACCAGCGTTCCAGCTCAAGCTCCAAATTTCTAGTTGGTTCTCCTGGTCACAGGAAACAGAGAGCAGGGCTCAGGCAGTGCCGAGGAAGTGCTTGTACTTGGTGCAGTGTCGTGAGCAGGATAAACTTCCAACATCTCTACGCAGTGTAGCTCTTCAGGCTCACACGAAGACTCAGAAACCGGAATATACTTTACATGATGATTGAAAGTCCAGCAGCACAACAAAACTTCCAAGGACTGTTTTGGCGCTAGCTTCCGTCTCATTGGCGTGTGCTCAGCCAGTTTTGGAAAAAAAGAGTAGACGTTCATTCCTCGTTCAACCTGCAACGAACTGGAGACAACACAAACCAACAAGACGACAATGGTTGTCATCAGCTCATGTGTTCACCACCGCAGTGCTACCATTCACTTTCCTGCTCCAAATGCGCTACAAGGCTGCATGGTACAGTCAACTTCGCTAATAACGACTGCGGATTCGCGAATAACGACAGAATTTCCATGCCGCAAAGTCCCATCCCACTGTAGTACATATAATGAGACTTCGGGTATAATGACACTTCGCGAATAAGGACACCTTTTTGATGCCCCGCCGAGTGTCGTTATAAGCGAAGTTGACTGTACTACGATGTGACGGTAATAATAGACCGTGATTTGCATTTTCCAATGTCAGATTAGGACTGGTACACCTTCTATTCTTCACTGTTTCAGAAAACAAGGGCAAGATTTGATATGGATTATGTGATTGTTGGCTATGTCACCATTTGAAAGAGGGTTGCAACCGTGATAGCGCAGTAAAATGAGTTTAAACCTACGTATTGCCTGGTATACTCTGCAAGTACTCAACAGTTGGCGAGCAGAGAATTTCGTGCCAAATTCCGCCCCAAGGTTGTGCACAGCAAACAACTTGATATATCATTAGCCCTACCCTTGTTCTATACATACCCGTTGTGCCGATCGAGCCTGAGCCCTCCACTCGACTCCACGGTCCAATGACATTCGGTCATCATGGCCAAATTCAAATCACTCAAGTGTTGAGAAGTGTCTACGTCGTCGCACGCGGCATGTGTCGACATATAAAAATATGTATACGATAGAGAAAGAACTACTGAAGAGCAACCAACTGGTTTCAGCATTCTCCTTCAAAGGATAGGTCGGCGGCAGAGGACCAAAGCCGGACAATAGTTGGAAATTCTCAGCGTTGAATTTCTACAGGCTGTAGATACATGGAAAAGCTCGATTTCCCCGCCACGGAAAATAAAAAAAGTCTTGATTTGGGGTGCTGGCGCTTCGCCTGCATGGTGCAGTCCCTTATGCCAAGTGTTGGATTTCACTTGCCACAACTGTAGATTGTGTCATGCACACACAGATTTCATATTGTGTGACATTGGTTACCATAGAGATAGTCTGAAAGATGTCTGGAGTATGGAAGGGAAAATGTCTGGATCTGGACGAAGTATTGACTGATACTACGTCTGTTGCTGGATAGTTTCAATATGCGTGTGATAAGCACAGGAGGAGAATGCAACAGCGAGAGTGGTGTTATGATGATGGACACTGTAGTGGGTTGCAGTTCTTAGGTTTAGTAGGAAAGAAGTGTAAAGTCATACTTACCTGGCACAGGGGACGCCGTGATCAATAAGGCGGCTCCCTCAGGATGAGGCCCCTCCATTGCACTCCGTTGGGGCTGAGGCTTGCGATTTCCCCAAACGTGGGAAACTCGGGTGCACAATTTATGGTAGTGGGGGTTTGCGTTCGCGCAGCCCCTGTACAAAATGAATGGAAAAAAATACTTCGAAGTAGTTCATGATCGGTTGGGCAAATCCCGAGCAAGTGTGTGTGCTCCGAGTGAGCGTAATCGTTTAGCAAAATCCGACCGAATCTGTTTTTTATCCTGCTTTGACGACTAGAAACATAGTCGGCTTTGTACTTTTTGAAGGCTCATCAGTGAGCGAACTGAACTCTCCAAGGAATCAAAGAAAAATTAATGAATTTTGGAATTGAACCGGAATGTGTGGAATTGTACATTGCTGCTTTGGACCTCATGCTATTCTTGCTTACTCTGAGATTCAAGCGAATGCGTGCGTGTATATAGATAACAGAAAGCACTGAAATTGTCGCTGTCTTACAGCTGTTGTACGGTTGTAGACTTGTGGTACGTCATTTTGTTTACGTCATGTGTACGTGGTGGTGTTGATGCATGCGCGCGTTCCTATGGTGCGAAAAGCAGTCTTTGTCTTGAGTTCGTTATGTCTAGTTGTCCAAGTGGGGAGATGGCACGGGGCTAGGCACAAGGAGAGTAAAAATTAGGGGTGAAAGGGGTGATCCGGGTACCCGTCTGTTTAGCTGCTGATCCGTTAGCAAACCAGTGCCCGTTAGTCGTGTATGACAGTACAGTACGGTATTATTAGCTGGTTTGTACAGTCGTACAGTTTGAATGTTTTTTTTTTTTGCTGGTTCGATCCTGCGACATATGACAATTTTGACTGTTTTGCATGTAGCACAGTAAATGTGCATGCTGCGCTTGTCGCAATGTGGTGTATTTGCTGTTAATTCCATGACTTCGCATGTCCTCCTGGCACGGAATGTGGAAGGCTATTGTATAGTAACTGTTACTATTGGCTGCTAAAGGGTACCCAATAACCCGCCCGTTAAGCCACGTACCCGTTTGTAACCTTAAAGGGTAACCGCTTCACCCCTAGTACTACTAAAAATCCAGTTACAAGTTACAACAGTACCCTAGAGAATAAGCGAAATGGCTGAATGATGAAGAAAAAAAGAAATAAAAGTCAAAAAGAAATGTCCTCCCCGGCCGGGAATCGAACCCGGGTCTTCCGCGTGACAGGCGGAGATACTTACCACTATACTACCGAGGATTAACTGTCTGAAGAACTTCAGCTCCAGTACAATAGCCTTGCGCAGATGTAAGATATCCTTTTGCACATGCATAGCAAGAAGGCGTGGATATGCACACATTTACCGAGTGCATGTGTGGTTTATCCGCAGCTGGAGTGTAGAGTTTTTTCATATCACTTGAATTTAATACCTTGTGCTGAAGAAGGGCTTGGTTTTTCTTGAAAACGCAACTTCCGTTGAAGCAGCCTTGGAAAACGGAACTGGATGGGACGTTCATCATTTGGACCAGTTGCCTTTGGGCTCTAGAATCTATTCTTCAATGTTATTTTAATCATGCAATCCTGAGTGAGGCTAGGTTGTTCGAAGACGTACAAGATTGCACTTGCTGATATCCCAATTTGAAATGGCAGTTGGCTGTTGCCATGGAAACGTATTGCTACCGGCACTGATTTGACCACAACAATGTTTGACACTCTTGGTTATTTTAAAAAGCTGACTTACATTCGTGAGGGCTAAATCCTTGTGTTGAGTCTGGTGTCAAACCTATTCCGTAACTACTGACCCTAAACAACAGCATGTAATAAATAGCTTGTCTGGAATCTTGTGAAGTTCATACTCTGGTTTACCTTCAACCACGAATAAATCTTTCGCCTTTTACTAAAGATTTCCGTGGAGGTGGACATTGAAGGAGTCTTCAAATGAATTTTTCTTTAGCCCTTGCTCATTGAGCAGGGCTCAATAAATTACAAAAATGAAAGAGGAAAGACTGTTTTGTGTTCTAGTCCAGTTGATGTGCGGTTCAACAGGGCTCAACAAATCACCAAAAGTAAAGAAAAAAAAGACTGTTTTGTGCTCTACAAAATGTATGAGTCAGTTCGTGCAGTTCAACTTCTGTGCAAGGCCGGCGGGATTGCCTGGACGAAGGTCGTCCGACTCCAACATGAAATCGCTCCCCTGTGTCGCACGAGCGATTTCACTTGTAGCCTGTCTATGTACAGTGCACACGTGGGGCACAGCCGTACTAGATAGTGCAGTATTGCTCAATGAAATCCAGTCGTGTCGCTCAAATACGCGCCGGGCGCTGCGCAGCCCTAGACAATGATTGCGTCTAGTAGCGATCTAGTGCAGCCAGTTGGCACTCTCTGTTGTCATGGTGCCATCAGTGATTGGTTGGTTGCCTGCTCCACCACGTGCAAGCACTAAAAATTGGCCAATTGTTTTGGCCAAGCATTGACATGTCAGTACAGTATCTGGCGGAAATTATATGACAGGTACTTAAAGTACATCAACACAGATTTGTCGGAACTTTGTACACCAACTCCAATCACACCAGGTGATTTTCACGCCGATACTGTCCAATTTTGTACTCTAATTGCGCTTGATGAAATCCAACCGAGAGTACATGTTCGGTGCCCTCAACTTGCACAGCCCCTGACGTCCCGGAAGTGCCACGAATGTTGCCGGGCGTACACGGTCATGTACAAATACAATGATGTAATCAGAACCAGTACAGGGCCCCCATTTCACACTTTGGGTCGGATTTCACCGAGCCCCACTGTACAATGTAGAGGAGAAGATTGAGTGCATTCTGTCCATTCTGTTGATCTTTCATGAAGAGTCCCCACTGACTTTGTCTCTCATGGTTGCCGCCGACAACAATCTCCATTCCTCAGTTTGGTTCTTCATTGTCTCAGTGGCTGCGTACGATTATGCACATGAATCGATTCATGAATCCATTCGCATGCATTCAAGTCGTTCGATTTTCATGTCAGGAGCGCTGGAATCGATTCGGAATCCATTCACCCTGTTCACATGGGGTGATGTGAATAGCGCAAATCGATTCGCTGGCATAATCGAACGCACTCAGTATGATACGTTTTCTTATCAGCTGAATGCTGCCGGTTGTAGCTGGGGTATTTAGTGTTGGTATGGGTGTGTTTGTTCTTATCAGTTTGATCGCTGATATGTTGACTATATGTCAACATTCGATCAAATGTATTTTTGCTCGTTGGAGAGTGGCTCGAAGCTTGCTTCACCCTCTCCATGGATCACCCTGGTATTGCAGTTCTTCCAGGTGTGGTCCATTTCCCTTCCAGGGACTTTAATTAATTGAAATAAAGTATTCAAGAAGCTGTACTGTGTTTAGTTTCAATAAGATTACACAAGTACCACTCGTTGGAGCCTATCAGTGGGTGAATTCAATTTCGGGCAATTCTGGAATTTGTTATGGTGGATGCACCGTTCGATCACACGAATTCCGAAGAGAGGGCGGAATTGCAAATTCTTCCGCCAGAATTGACGCACTCGACGTACACGTCTTGCTAGGTCCACGCGCGAGCGGAGGTGTACTGGACCCCACATGATCTTCTTTCACGATTTTTACGTGTAGCCGTTCGTTTATTTGCCGCAATCCGTTCGTTCTGTTCATACGAGAATCACAAAACCTGGGTCCAGAATGTGTAATCGAAAGCGCCCATTGTTGCCTTTCTTTCGCTGTCATTAGACCTTGCATAACGTGTTCCTCAGCTTATCGAGTAGCGATTTCAACGTCCCATGGAGGTACTACGTTCTCAACTGAAAGTTCACTGTAGTATTGTCAATAATAATAATAATAATAATTTGAAACTCGGATGTTGAGCCATAAATAAATGTAGAAGAGAAAAGGACATATGGATACGAGTTAAGTTATTGCACTTTCTGACTGTATAATTTTAGTATCATGTTACAGTGATGGAGAGTTACTCTTAACTCGTATCCATATGTCCTTTTCTCTTCTACAATACTTCCTCCGTTAACAAAAACTTCGTGATGGAATTTTGAGGGGCTGATTTGGGCACAAACTGCCGTGAAATGAGTCGCAATCACTTTCTTGGCCTTCCCTGGCATGCCATGACAGAGGTACGATGCAAGGAAAGCGACCTTTCACAACAAGCCGAGCGGAATCGATGGTTGCGCTGTGGAAACATAGGTGATGACAGTCATGGCGAGCGAAACTGAAATACCACTTCTCCGAGGGGATATTGCGTTGCTTGGCCTCTCTGTCACTTTAGCACTGAGTAAGTTGGAGAGTGATCGAGAGCGATGAAACGGAGTAGCGAGCCCACACAATGAGCGAGTGAACAAGGAGCTGCTCCGATCGTACAGCTCAATGAAAACAATTCTGAACTCAAGATCTTGTTCAACCTGCGCAAAGTCCAGATTCGAATGCTCATGACCATGCATTCTTTCAGAAGTCCGCTGTCCGATGCGAGTCTCGTGGCTAAAGAAAGTCGACTGGACTTGCTAGCCGCTGCCGTTCTGTGCTGGCAGGGGAATCCATTAGAGAAAATGGAATCAGTTTGGCTGTGCCTTTACTCCTCGTTTCGCGGAGTTCGGACAGCGAAGATGAAACCAAGGAGTCGTAAAATATTTTTCACGACTCCCTGGTGGAAACGAGTAATCGCCATTGCGGCGAATCACGCAGCTTGAAAGCCAACTTATTTGAACGACGGCGACATCAAGGTCAGCGGAGTGTGATCAAAGAAGCCGAGGCAAGGCTGAAACGAGCTGAACAACGACTCGAGAGAGATGACGACTCGCGTACAGCAGATGATGACTCGCGTGCAGCAGATGACGACAGCGACGCAGGTCAAAAATGAATCGAGCGAAAGCGACGCAAACTGAACTATCTGCTCATTCCGCCAACAGTTTCTCTTGTAAAGACGCTGTACATAGGCTGAATCACCTTCGTCCAGTGATTTGCAGTCGATACAAACTGTTCTTGATCTGTTCTAAGCGTTTTCATATCCATCAAAATCCATCACGAAGTTTTTGTTAACGGAGGAAGTAGTAATAATAACTTTATTAGGATGACCCAAAGGCTGACCGCCTATCGTGGGGTCTGTCGCATTGAAGGATGATGGTACAAGAGAGTACAGATTGGGAAGGGGGACTACGATGAACAGGGTAGCGGCATGCCAGTGAGTAGACCTAATGAATTGAACAGAGGATATGCTTGCTCGGCGGAGGAGAGGCTGATGGCTAGCTGTGCTATATGTATTAGGAATGTCTTACACTGCATCTTGTATGTACTGTGTGTATGTGAAGGAAGTAGATTGTGTCATGCACACACAGATTTTATATTGCGTGACGTTGGTTACCATAGAGATAGTCTGAAAGATGTCTTGAGTATGGAAGGGAAAATGTCTAGGTCTGGACGAAGTATTGACTGATACTACGTCTGTTGCTGGATAGTTTCAATATGCGTGTGATAAGCACATGTGGAGAATGCAACAGCGAGAGTGATGTTATGATGATGGACACTATAGTGGGTAGCAGTTCTTAGCTGTAGTAGGAAAGCAGTGTAAAGTCATACTTACCTGGCACAGGGGACGCCGTGATCACTAAGGCGGCTCCCTCAGGATGAGGCCCCTCCATTGCACTCCGTTGGGGCTGAGGCTTGCGATTTCCCCAAACGTGGGAAACTCGGGTGCACAATTTATGGTAGTGGGGGTTTGCGTTCGCGCAGCCCCTGCATACAATGAATGGAAAAAAGTAGTTCATGATTGGTGACGTGAATCCCGAGCAAGTGTGTGTGCTCCGAGTGAGCGTAATCGTTTAGCTAAATCGTGCCGAATCTGTTTTTTATCCCGTATTGATGACTAGAAACATAGTCGAGCCGTCAGATGCAAAAAGGTACCTTATGACATTTTTGGCCAAATCGAGTTAACGATTGTTTCAGATACAACCTGGTCAGGAGAGTGTCGTGCAAAAAACCAGGTCCAAAAATCTCAATTCATCACCGAGTTACCCTGGAAACTATCCGGACTATCGATCACATATTCACAGAAAATACTTTTTTCGAACGCGATTTTCTCAACTGCGAGCAAAACGTCATAAGGTACCTTTTTGCATCTGACGGCTCACTGTCGGGTTTGCGATTGTTGAAGGCTCATCCGTGAGCGAACTCAACTCTCCAGGGAATCGAAGAAAAATTAATGAATTTTGGAATTGAGAACCGGAATGTGTGCAATTGTACATTGCTCCCTTCATTGGACCTCATGCTATTCTTGCTTACTCTGAGATTCAAGCGAATGCATGTGTATATAGATAACAGAAAGCACTGAAATTGTTGCTGTTTACCGCTGTAGTACGGCTGTAGTACGTTGTTTTGTTTACGTCATGTGTCCGCGGTGATGTTAGTGCAAGCGCACGCGCGTTCCTGTGGTGCGAAAAGCGGTCTTCGTCTTGAGTTTGTTATGTCTAGTTGTGTTCCCGTCATCTTGTAGTAATAAACAGTCTTGACAATGTAACCATCTTGTCATATTGTCCAAGTGGGGAGATAACACGGGGCTGGGCGCAAGGAGAGTAAAAATCCAGTTAAAAGTTGCAACAGTACCATCGAGAATAATGGGCCATTCACACTACGCCCAAAACGTGGCGTACGTTACGTTTTCGTCCGGATACCCATGACAACATGGAACGTGGCGGGAAAATCGTACCCCTGATACGAAAACGTAGACGACGTATCTAGACGCCTGTACCGAGGTTCGTTCTGTCGTTCCTGGCAGTTTGTGTCCAAAAGAAGCTGTGCGCACAGCTGTACGAAAAGCATATACGTGCCTATGTGAATGCACCTGCATGAAAACGTCGTCTGCCAGTGCGTCGTATTCCAAAACGTTATTGTAACGTAGTATGAATAGCCTATAAGCGAAATGGCTGAATGATAGCATGAAGCAGATGAAACCCTCCATGCCAGGAACATTCCCTTGGCCGTTGCAGTGGTAAGTAAAGATGAGTTTCCTGTGTCTTCTCTCTGATGCTACCGGACAATAGCATACTGTATAGCAGGAAATTTTCGGACGGAAATATTTTCGGACAAAGCCGAATTTCGACATTTCGTACGGATTATATTTTCATACAGTGGTGCATGCTAAATGCACTTGTTTGCTTGCGGTACGCATGTATAGTGTACATAACTTCACAGGAACAAATTTTAGTACGGAATTAATTTTAGTACAAAAGAGGGCGTGTATGAAATCGTACGAAAATAAATTCCGTCCGAAAATTTCCTGCTATACAGTATACGGTCAGATGCCGTGCAGACAACATCGATAAATGTACTTTTTGCCGTTCCGACCATCCAGACTCTTTAGGTTTCCTGAATTCGAACACTCAATCACAGTCTCTCCTAAATATTTTGAGGAAAAAAAGAAATAAAAGTCAAAAAAGAAATGTCCTCCCCGGCCGGGAATCGAACCCGGGTCTTCCGCGTGACAGGCGGAGATACTTACCACTATACTACCGAGGATTTACTGAGGGAGGCTCTGCAGCTCCAGTAGAAGTCACACCAAGATGCGAGGTATTCTTCTGCACATTCTTTGCAAGATTGCCTATGCACACGTTTGCCAAGTATAGTTGTGGCCAAAGAAATCTGCCCCGTTTGATGAAAGCAGAGCCAAGGCTCATGCGGCCACTGCGGCCCTCGGATGGGTGTTTCGAACCATGAACGATGTAATTGACAGGGAAGTGTGGCACTGCTTTTGCCTCGTCGACCGGATTTCTTTGGCCACGGCTATACGTGTGTGGTTCATACACAGCTGGACTGTAGAGTGACTACGTATTGACACTGATGATACTACTACACCCAGGAACAGTGAATACACTGAATCATCTTTTGGTTCAAGAAGTACTTGATTCGTACCTTGCAAGTGCAGTTTCCGTTGAAGCAGCCTTCTAAAAACAAACCTGACGAGATGTTCGTCATTTGAACCAGTTGCCATTCTTGTCTTCAACTGTGTTTCAATCATGCAGTTCTGATGAAAACTAGGCTGGTTGGAGGTGGAATTGCACGTGCTGATATCCCTATTTGAAATGGCAGTTGGCTGTTGCCATGGAAACGGATTGCTATCGGCAGGCAGTGATCTGACCACAACAATGCTTGATACTCTTGGTTATTTTAAATACCTGTCTTACACCCATGGGAGTTACATTCTTGTCTGGAGTTTAGTAGGATATGTTTGACCAAACATATTCCGTAACTATTGGCCCTAAAGAACAGCATGTAGTAAATAGCTTGTCTGGGATCTTGAGAAGTTCATACTCTGGTTTA